GCCTCCATCGCTTCGCGCACTCGCTTCCCGTCGCCGTAGAGGGCGGCCTCAAACTTGGCCAGATCCGCCTCGCCCTCAAAGCCGCCACGTCCTTCAAATTGGGCAAAGAAGGCGCCAAAGACCTCGTCGACGGCCGCCCGGCGCACCTCCGCCAGGGCCGCCTCCTTCTCCTCTAGTTGAGCTCGAGCCGCCGCAAGCTCTTCCTCCTTCGCGGGAATCTTCTCCTGCTCCAGCGCCACCAGCTCCGCCTGCTGCCGGGCGAGCCGGGTCTTCAGGTCCTCCAGGTGGGCTCGCTTGATGTTCAGCTGGGCGGTGAGTCTGCAGGAAAAAAGGAGTTAACTAAAAAAAGATAACAAACTCAGTCCCTCAGCCTTACCTGACCACCTTCGCCGCCAGCGGCTCCAGCGCCGTGGTCGCCTCCGTCAGCGCCTGCTGCGCCTCCGTCAGCTGGCGCTCCTTCCGCGCCACCCGCTCCTCCTCCGCCTGGAAGGACTCGTCGTCAAAGGCGTCCAGGCCATGGGCTCCAAAGCCGCCGCCAACGCCGCCTCGGCCTCCAAAGTCGGCGACAATCTCCACCGGGTTGTTGTAGAGCGTGCCGCAGCGGGCGGAGATGGCCCGGCACTGCCGCAGCTGGTTCACCACGGCACTGGCCGTCTCCCGATCGGGCGCCACCACCGCATTGCCCACCGCCATAAAGAGGGCCCGGTCGGCGTTGGCCACCCCCGGCGGCAGGCGGATGAGGTCGTAGAGGAGGCGGCAGGAGTGGCTGTCCGCCTGACCGCCGTGGTCATGACCATCACCTCCTCCCCTTCCTCTAATCTTCTTAACGGCCTCGCGCATCGGCGCCAGCGACTCGGAGAGCGGCGAGGTGGAGCGGCTGCCGCGCGGCAGCAGCACGTCCAGGGGGAGAAACTTCAGCGAGGCGTAGTCGGAGCGCGCCTCCTGCTCCATCACCTCGCGCATGGTGGCCATCGAGTCGACCAGTACGGTGTTCAGGTGACGGCGGGCGACGATGTTGTACACGGCCAGGTGGCTTCGGCGGAAGAGGAAAGGGTAAAAAAGTTTAGAAATAGGGCTAATTAAACCACCACCTCCACCCCCTACCTTCGATTGGCGGGCTTGCAGAGGGCGCCCAGGCGACCATGCACCCGACCACGGTACGCCGCCACCAGTCGGTCAATCTTCGCCTTCTCCTCCACCCGCTTCCGGTTCAGCAGAAAAGAGCTAAACTTGGCGCGGAACGTCTCGCGCGCCTCCTTCAGCCCTCGCTCCTGCTGCTGAAGCGCCTGGGCAGCCGCATCGCGCGCCCCCCTCGCCACCGCCTCCTCCGCCAGCGCCTTCTCCTGAGCGGCGGTCAGCGTGGCGACGTCGGCGGCCAGCGAACTGAGCGCCCGCTCCACCTGCTCGTTGGCCGCCTCCAGGCCGGCGCGCTCCGAGGCGAGAAAGGCCAGGTCCCGTTCGCCGGTGGTCACCTCGCGCCCCAGGCGGGCAATGTCGCGCTCCAGGTCGGCCGCCCGTGAGTAGCCGTCGCCGGTCGTGGCCAGTCGCTGCTGCAGGGTTTGCTTCAGTCTGCAACAAAAGGGTTAGAAAGTTTTAACCAAAAGCACACCACCACACTTACCGAATAAACTGGTTCTGCTGCTCGGGGGTGAGCTGAAGCTCCCCACCACCGCCACCTCCTCCTTCTTCTTCTCCCGAAGCCTGCTGCTCTCGCTGCAGTTGCTCGTTCGCCGCGGCAATGCTTCCGTCAATCTCCGCCAGCTCCTCGCGGTACTGCTCCGCCTCCTGCAGCATCACCACCCGTTTCCGCTCCAACTCGTGGGCGTTTCGCTGCGCCAGGGCGTGTCGCTTCCGCGCCGCTCCCAGCTGCGCCTCCAGCGTGCGCAGGGCGCTCTGCTCCTGCGCCTCCATCTCCAGCGCGGCAGTGCGGTGCTCCCCCTCGGCGGCACTGGCCGCCCTCGCGGCCGCCTCCAGCGCCCGCTTCGCTTCGGCCTTCGCGCGCTCCAGGCCGCCGCGGATGGCCGCCTCCGCGTCGGCCACCTCCGCCTCGGCCAGGCGGAGGCGCCCTCGGGCGCGCTCCAGCTCGGCGGCGTTCTCCTGCAGGTCGAGCAGCGCCAGCCGGCTGCGCAGCGTCTCAATCTGCCCGGTGATGTTGTCGCCCGCCTGTCGGCNCCTCGGGCGCGCTCCAGCTCGGCGGCGTTCTCCTGCAGGTCGAGCAGCGCCAGCCGGCTGCGCAGCGTCTCAATCTGCCCGGTGATGTTGTCGCCCGCCTGTCGGCGCTCAATCATACTGCGAATGAACTCATTCGAGCGGAGGAGGCTGGTGCGCTCCTGGCGGCAGATCATCAGCTGGTCGCTCTTCTCCTTGATGGCTTTCTGCATGAGGGAAATAAGATAAAAGATCAAAACTGTAAATCATCATCAGTAAAATAAGTCCAACTTACATTGAGGCGGTTGTAGGCGGCCGCGTACTCCCCGCTGCCCGACAGCTCCTCAATCACCTTCGTCAGCTTGT